TTCCCATGTAGGTTTTTGAGCTGAACACCAGGTCTGGTGTTTACAGGAGTCCTCTAATTCCTTTTTAGCCCTAAAGTATGAACCTACAAACATCATAGCAGGGCAGTGACTCATGTGGTTAAATAACTGGCCCCAGTCAGAGCGCCACGTCAGGAAGAATGCAGGAAGGGGGAAGCAGCAGAGGAATGCTGCCCGTTGTGCCAGGAATATTGATCCTTTGATGGAAGAGTGACTAATTTTAAAGCCTGATTCTGTTTTTTCCATGCAGTCTGGGGAGCATGGCACCAGCATGATGACTAATGAAAGCCATTCCCTGCCCTCACCCTGAGAAGCAGGGGAGAGGTAGGAGCTGGAATGTTGTTTGATTTACAGGGTGGGATGCTTTACACCAGAGCTGTTCGTATCACCCAGCATTGCTCAATGGAGCCCTGCCTTTAGCTGCATTGAGTCCCTGCACTGCAAGGAGCAGGGAAATGGTGGTTTAGAGCATAAGGAGATGGACTGTGGGGGGGGGGGTTTCCCCCTGAAGATGTGTGGAGCTGGGCTTTCTGAGCTCTGCTGTGCATTTATCATGCCACAACGTGCATGTGGTTGGTGTAAAGCAGGACCTGGAGCTTTCACCTGCAGCCCAGCCTCCCCAGTGCCACTGTCCACAGCTCCGGTGCCAAGCGTGGTTGGGTGTGGAGAGGTTACCTCCAGTGCCAGCTGCTCCATGTACAACACTTGCAGCATCAGCTTGGCTGACTCCTCCTGGGAATGCTGACACCGAGGGCTGTCAGCCTTTAGCTGCAGTGGAATTCCAACAACCACGCAAAAAAAACTCTTTGCCTCTCTCCAATGGGGAATGCAGCCTTTGAACTCAGGTTACTTTATTTGATGTACTCAACATTCAAGAAGTCAATTACCACAAAGGGCATGTGCTTTGCAGTCGGTTTTCCCTTCCCACTTGATCTTCCTTTCAGTTATTTCGTGCTCCAGGCAGAGGTCTCTGATGCTTTGTGGTGCAGCATAGAGGGGCAACAGGAACATGTTCAAATCCAGCTGCCTCTCTGCTCTGTTCGAGTATCAGCATCTTCAAACAGCCCAAATATTTCTTTCCCTCATTTCCAGTTACAAAGATAGGTGTGTTTGCAATACTGAAACATGGGGGACACTGAATTTTACTGGGACTTTACAAAAATCAAGTAAAAATCCAGTGTTTTCTTACCTTTTTGGGGCACCAGGGCCTTGCACTGTCCTCCTCTCATTTACTCTTAACCTTTGCAAGCCTGATTTAAAGTGCAGCTTTCACAGTGCTTCTTCCCCCCTGACCCCTAATGTCCTTTTTCCTCCCCAAACCAGTCTGCCTTCTTCAGCTTCAGCAGCTTTACAAGGAGAGGAAAGCACAGTAAGTTTAACTTCTTTTGGTCTAGGATTAAAATACCTCGTGGTGCAGACATCATGGTGCCTGCCTGCCTGGCCTGGTGTTTGAAGCCAAATAGAGGAGAAGAATGCTGCCACCTCCCCTCCAAAATAACAGAGGAGCTGGGCTGTGGTGTGGAGGCTGAGCTTGCCAAGGGGTTGGTGTGGGGAGGAGGAAGAGACTCAACATGTCATGGTTTAGGTGGGGATTAGGTTTCTGCAGTAACTAAGCCTTTCCTGAAAGGTGAAGCAGAGAAGGCCCAGTGTTGCTTTGCGCTGGGCGTTAGGTGTGAAGCACCTCACCCTGTGCTGGGTGGAGGAGACCTCCAAGGGTGTGAAAATGAGACAGGCTCCAGCCTCAAGGAGCAGCTGCAGCTCTAAAACTGTTCTTAATCGTTATTTCTTCCTCAGTCCTGTCCCAGGTACATGCACAACACCAGCATTTATATATCCTCTGACCCAGACAGAGCTCCGAAGCGATGGGCCGTGGCATTAGAGGTATTAAATCCTTCAACAAGATGTGGCTTGGGATGAAGACAGTTCACTTGCACATAAGGACACTGTAGATAGGGAGAGCTGTGTGGTCTCACCCTACGAGCACACCCCATATCCCCAGCTCCCCCCGTCCTGCTGTGTGGTCAGCAAAGCACCCTGGGCTCATCCCTAAAAGCCCAGGGCATGGGGGCTGCTGGCTTTTCAATAGGGGACCACACAATGGGACCCTCACCCCCTGGGTGTCATCGTGTCCCCAGCATGGTGCTGAGCACACAGCAGGATGAGTGTCACCAGGGTATGTGCAAGTGGGATGTGATACCCAGCTCTTCCACACTGGAATTACCTACCTCCAGCCTGCAACAGCAGGGCTGTGGCACTGGATCACTGGAAACCAGGGACGTGCTTGTAGTGGCCTAGAGCAAAGCTGGGAGCAGGGACTTCTCGTGGGGATTTGCTCTGAGCCGTTTTCTCTTGCTACCAAAAGTAGGTTATCAGCCTTTTGCTCCAGATGTTCCTTTTATAGGCTCTTTTTGTTCTATTTTCTGGCTGCTGTTTCCATAAGGAAAAAACCTTTATGTCTGTGCAAGCTCCGAGCGTCCCGTGCCCCCTCAGGTCACATCATCTGACTCTATTTCTGTTGTTTAACTGGAGAGTGGCTCTGAACAGCACTTCAGGAAGAAGCTCTTCCCTGTGAGGGTGCTGAGGCGCGGGCACAGGGGGCCCAGAGAAGCTGTGGCTGCCTCATCCCTGGCAGTGTTCAAGGCCAGGTTGGACACAGGGGCTTGGAGCAACCTGCTCTAGTGGAAGGTGTCCCTGCCCGTGGCAGGGGTTGGAGCTGGAGGAGCTTTAAGGTCCCTTCAACCCAGACCAGGCTGGGGTTCTGTGAAGTCAATGGGGCTCGTTGCATTTGAGGAGGGAAATGCAGAACTTGGGAAATCCTCTTTGTAGCTGCAGGGATTTCTGAACACGTTTGACTCTTCCTCATCCTCCAAGGCAGAAGAGCTGAGCAAGCCCTCTCTGCTCTAATGTTTAATGTATTTCTCAGCAGAGGTGCCTGGGTGCTATGGGACACTGCCAAAGGCAGACACTTGCATATGATTTCTTTTTGCTGCAGAGTTTGGTTTGAGGCCAAAAGCTCTTTATTTCCCTGGGTATCTTTGGGGGACTGTCAAGTGTTGTGTTGCTTCCCTGTTCCCCATCTCACTGCCTAATCCTGTCCCATAAGGAGCAAAGGAAACGCTTGTGTAATATGTGTGTTTCAGTGATGCTGAGGTAGGGTCTAGAGGCTGCTGAGGAAGGGCTGAGGGACCTGGGGGGTTTAGTGTGGAGAAGAGAAGGCTCAGGGGGGACCTTGTCACTCTCTGCAACTGCCTGACAGGAGGATGGAGCCAGGAGGGGGCTGGTCTCTGCTCCCAAGGAACAAGGGATGGGACAAGAGGAAACGGCCTCAAGCTGTACCAGGGCAGGTTTAGATGGAGCTGAGGAACAATTCCTTGCCCAGAGGGTGCTCAGGCATTGGAAC